AGACTTTCGTAATTTCTATTTTTGTGCTCATTATAAATAAAACAAAGTTAAGAATCCCTGGTATTTAGAAGATGTACCTAACCAAGGAATTATATGTGATTTTCCAGAAAGGGATTTATTTTCTATTTATTTTCTGATGGCATTAATATCTTCAGAAACATCACCCAGGGACCTTCAATGAAAAGATAATTTAACTTACCACTTATAAGGCAAATATTTTAAAAGTGTGATTTATTATATAGAGAATAAAGAGTATATTGATGATTCATTTTAATAAGCAACTGTATCCACATCTAACACCTCATTGTATAGTCAAAGAACACTTGAGCTACACTTTTTTGATAACTCAAAAATGGACTTTTCATAGAACAACAATAGTTTCAAAACTCCACTAGAAAAAAATGTGGAATACTTTCATTATTCGTCTTAGCCAGAGAGATAGCTTCATTTCCACTGCTTAGAATCAAGACACATCACATACTCTCTAAATATGAAACAATTTTTGAGCGAATAATGCCAAAAGGAAAGCCAACAATGCACAAAATAAATGAAAGTATAGAAAAAAGAAAAAGTAAATACAGTTCCAAAAGACAGGAAATGGGGATTTTCAGAAAACCTTAGGTCTTTTCTTCCCATTACTTTGTGTTTTTCAAGAAGTATTCACATTAAATAAATAAAACCTTTTCTTCTCTTTCAGCCTGCCACTGTATATGGCTGTGCTTTCAATGAGAACTTTAGCCTTAATACATGTTTCTTCATCAACCAGTCAAATCTACATTCTTTGATTTTAAGCAGTTTTGAAAACTATAATTATTCCACATTTAGTAATACCAGCTATATGCCAAATACAGCTTTAGAATTAAGATACACAGACAAGTCTTCAACAACCATATGCCTCTGGTATCCTGAAAACATACACACACGAGCAACAAAACCATAGTGGTCCTACCTTAATGACATGAGGACACAAATGTTACAGTGCAAAGAAAAATCACTTACCATTTCCAGGAGATATGGATGGTGTGTTCTTGGCTGAAATAATTTTTCAAAGTTGGGACAACGTTTTTTCCTCTTAGGGTTTGTCTTTTTAAAACCTTTCTTTCCGTTCTCATACTTGGCTCCTGAGAAATTTCTAACAGTTGCTTTAACATCTTGTCTTGGACTCTTGGGAGGACTGCTATGAGCAACCTGGTTTTCTGCCACAGCTTCTGTTTCAGTCTTGACAGGAGTTGCTAAGTGTGAGGAAAAACAAATACAAAAATTATTAAAAAAAAAAACAAAACAGGTAAAACTTTCAAAATTAATGAAAACAGCCATAATATTATCTACTTAGTAACTTAAAATTATGAGAGGTTTTGCAAGGCATTTACAATGTATTCCAGTACTTTTCCAATTGGGAGCTATAACTGCCAAGAATTGAGAGACTACTACAAACAGCCACAGAAAGTGATCCCTATGAAGGAAGTAAGACCAGATGGAAACTTGAATAAAATATCTATAGAAATAAAATCTATAACAACAGCACAAAGGAAAGGGAAGAAAATGCTAAGTATATTATTATATAATTCTTAAATTACATGTAAAGTGAATGATTAAAAAAGTACATGTGGTAAGTTAAAACTGTTAAAAAAATAAAACAAATAGGAATAGCTCTTAAACCAATAGTTTCACTGACCTAAAAATATAAAATTGATCCAAAACAAGACTGGGAAAAAATGGAACAAAAAACAGATGAGACAAATAGAAACAAACCATATCAGCAAATACATTATATGTATATAGTTTAAACACTTCACTTAGAAAGCAGAGATAGTCAGACAAGAACTAAATTGAAACGCAAGAATTCCTTTCCTTACACAGTTAAAACTGAAATTAAGCCTCAGTTTCCAAAGAACCATACAAAGCAAGGACTGCATATGACAATCACTAGAAAGCTGGAGTGGCTGTATCAACATCAGACAAAAAAGAGACTTTAGAACAAGGTTTATCATCAGCAATGAAGAAGAACAGTCTTCATACATAAAGAACACAAAACAAAAATACCTAATAAGATTTTCAATATACATGCAGCAAAAACTCAGGGAACCAAAAGGAGAAATAAACAAATCAATTATTAAGGCCAGAGATGAGAGCACTCTGATCTATTTAATTGAAGAACAATTAGAAAATAAGTAGGAATACAGAAGACCTGAACACCCCTTTCCACTTTGTCAACTCAAATTGACAAAGAATACTCAACCTCAACACATATTCATGTGAAATCAAATGAGCATTCACCTTGTATTGGGCCATAAAGACA